CACTCTGCACAGTGCTTCCTCCCCCTCTGCCTTTGCCCCCACAGGTGGCACACCAGGATGTGGGGCTGAGCCCTGCAGAAAGCAGCCCCCCGTTCCCCGGGATCGCTGCCCTCCACATTACTCCCCTCATCCAATCCCATCCCACCCCATCCCACCCTCCGGCATCGCTGCCCGCCCCCCTTACTGACCCCATCCCATCCCTTGGGATCGCTGCCCCCCCCTTACTCCCCCCCTCCCATCCCATCACCTGGGATCGCTGCCCCCCCTCTTATTCCCCACATCCCAACCCCTGGGATCGCTCCGTCCCCCCCCCCCACCCCGTTTCTCCCCATCGCTCCCTCCCCAGAGCCAAGATTTGGGGGACCGGAGGCGGGGAGAGCATCAGGCCCCGCATCCTGCTTTTTTTTGGGGGGGGGGGGGGGCGGGCGGCGGTTGCCGTGGGCACCGGGGAGGTGGGGGGGGGGGGTGGCGGAGCAAAGCCTGCGCGGTGCCGGGGGGGTGGCCCACGGGGAAGGGGCATCGCCCGCGGCCGTGGCCTTGCGGCGGCCGGCGCTGAATGGCAGCGGGCTGCGTGCAGGCTGCCATGGCGCTGGGGCTCTCCTCCAAGAAAGCTTCCTCCAGGAACATCGCCGTGGAGAGGAAGAACCTCATCACGGTCTGCAGGTGCGGGGGGACCACAGTGGGGGGGGGACACCCCCTGTACGCTTGGGGGGGGGATGGAGGAGATGGGAGGTGGGGGGATGGATGGGGAGGAGGGATGCGGGGTTCATCTTCATCCCCCCCTCCGCATCGTGGGGGCTATGTGTGTGTTTGTTATTGCTGCAGTCGCATTTTGGGGGGAGATTCAGGTTTGGGGGGGGGACGAGGAGGAGGATGGGGATGTGGGAAGGGGGGTGCAGGGGGTGCGACTGGGAGGGGGGGTACAACAGCAACAGGGAGGGTGCTGGGGCTGTGGGCAGCCAGAGAGGGGGGTACGGGGGGGATAAGGGGGATTTGGGGGGGGAGAATTGGGTCCGGGGACACCCCCCCCCCCGCGGGTGGGGGTCCAAGGAAGTGACGTCAGGGGCCGCTCCAGGCGGCGGGGATGGAGGGATGAAGGCTGCGATGGAGAATGCGGGTTGTCATGGAGACGCCGGGATGGACCGCGGCGGGGGAGGGATAAGGGGGACCCGGAGGGTGTTGGGGGGTCTCTGCCTGCCCCAGCCCCCAAGTGTGGGATGGGGTGAACCCCCCCATAGCCCCTGGTTGGGGGCTGCGATGGGGGTGATGGGGGGGTACGGAGGCTTGGGGTCACCATGACAGGGACCCCCAGGTCCTGCTGCCAGGGTCGGGGGGACCCCTGGGTCTCTCTGCCATTGCACGGGCACTCCAGAGCCCTCTGTCATGACGCGGGGACTCCTGTGGGCGATGCCCCCCCGCCCTGTGCTCCGTGCGCTGCTGCCTGGGCACCTCTGTGCCGAGCGGGAGCGGTGCGGAAGGGGAAGCCATCACCGCCGCGCGCGGCCGGGAGGAAGGGGGCCTTTGTTCGCCCTTCCTGGCCACTCGCAGGGCGGGGGGGCAGTGGCCGCCCGGGGGGGTCCCCGGGGACGTGGGGACACGGGGGTCAGCGAGGCTCAGCCCAAAGCTCTGCCTGCAAAAGTGCTTTGTGCTGTGGTGAGCGCTGAATGTGTGCGCGTGCGCGTGCGGGTGTTGGTGCTGGTGTTGGTGCTGGTGTGGTGTTGGTGCTGGTGCTGGCCTTGGTGGCGGTGCTGGTGCTGGTTTTGGTGCTGGTGTTGGTGCCGGTGTTGGTGGCATTGGTGCTGGTGCTGGTGTTGTTGCTGGTGCTGCTGGCGTTGGTGCTGGTGCTGCTGGTGTTGGTGCTGGCACTGGTCTTGGTGAAGGTGCTGGTGCTGGTGTTGGTGCTGGTGTTGGTGCTGGTGTTGGTATTGGTGCTGGTGTTGGCGCTAGTGTTAGTGCTGGTGTTGGTATTGGTGCTGGTGTTGGTGCTGGTGCTGACACTGGTCTTGGTGCTGGTGCTGGTGTTGGTGTTGGTGCCGGTGTTGGTGGCATTGGTGCTGGTGTTGGTATTGGTGCTGGTGTTGGTGCTGGTGTTGGTATTGGTGCTGGTGTTGGTGCTGGTGCTGACACTGGTCTTGGTACCGGTGCTGGTGCTGGTGTTGGTGGCATTGGTGCTGGTGTTGCTGCTGGTGCTGGTGTTGGTGCTGGCACTGGTCTTGGTGCCAGTGCTGGTGCTGGTTTTGGTGCTGGTGCTAGTGTTCGTATTGGTGTTGGTATTGGTGCTGGTGTTGGTGCTAGTGTTAGTGCTGGTGTTGGTATTGGTGCTGGTGTTGGTGTTGGTGCTGGCACTGGTCTTGGTGCCGGTGCTGGTGCTGGTATTGGTGCTGGTGTTGATGGTATTGGTGTTGGTGTTGGTGCTGCTGGTGTTGGTGCCGGTGTTGGTTGCTGGGTGTTGAGTGTTCTGCTCTAGGTTCTGGTATTGGGTGCTGGATGTTGGGTGTTGGGCTGTAGGTGCTCATGTTGGTGCTGGTGTTGATGCTGGGCTCTGGGTGCTGGTGTTGGGTGCTGCATGTTGAGCTCGAGGTGCCGGTGCTTGTGTTGGGTGCTGGGTGCTGAGCTCTCAGTGCTGGTGCTGGGCTCTGGGTGCGCGGTGCCGTCCCCTCCACCCGTGCTGCTCCCCTGCAGGTTCTCGGTGAAGACGCTGCTGGAGAAGTACACGGCGGAGCCCATCGACGACTCCTCCGAGGAGTTCGTGAACTTCGCCGCCATCCTCGAGCAGATCCTCAGCCACCGCTTCAAAGGTACCGCCCCCCCCCCCACGTCCCTGTGCCCGGGCGGGGGCTCTGTGTGGGGCCAGCCCTGAGGCGGTGCCGGTGCCCGCAGGCCCCGTCAGCTGGTTCAGCTCGGATGGGCAGCGCGGGTTCTGGGATTACATCCGCCTGGCCTGCAGCAAGGTGCCCAACAACTGCGTCAGCAGCATCGAGAGCATGGAGAACATCAGCACCTCCCGGGCCAAGGTCAGGAGGAGCCAGCCCCAGGCTTGGCCCCGTCCACGCTCCTCTTCCTGTGTCTGTCTTCATTCACACACACAGGGCACATGGACCCAGCCTCACTCTGATCCCCATCCTCATTCCATTACATCCCACATCCCATTCCATCCCCATTGCATCTCCACTGCATCCTGTCCCATCCCGCATTCCCTATTCCATTCCCATCCCTATCCCCATCCTCATCCCATCCCACATCCCCATCCCATCCCCGCTGCATCGTCTTTGTATCTCCATTTCATCCCATCCCAATCCCTGTTCCCATCCCCTTTCCATCCCTGTCCCCATTCCATTCCACAGCCCCATCCCATTCCACAACCCCATCCCATCCCAATCCCTATCCGGATCCCCATCTTCATCCCATTCCCTATCCATCTCCATCTCATCGTCACTGTATTCCTATTGCATCCCCATCCCAATTCCCATCCCCTCCTGCAGCCCGGGGGCAGCTGCTGGTGGCACTGGGTGGCACTGGATGGCACTGGGTGGTGTCTCCGTGCTTAGAGCTCCAATGGGCGTTGCCTTGCAGGGCCGAGCCTGGATCCGTGTGGCGCTGATGGAGAAGCGCATGTCTGAGTACATCTCCACAGCGCTGCGGGACACACGGACCACGAGGTGAGCAGCACGGGTCGGGGGTACCAGGGCTGGGTACCCAGATACTTGGGTACCACGGCTGGGTACCAGGGTACTTGGGTACCAGGGCTGGGTACCAGGGTACTTGGGTACCAGGGCTGGGTATCCAGACACTTGGGTACCAGGGCTGGGTATCCAGACACTTGGGTACCAGGGCTGGGTACCAGGGTATTTGGGTACCAGGGCTGGGTACCAGGGTACTTGGGTACCAGGGCTGGGTACCAGGGTACTTGGGTACCAGGGCTGGGTATCCAGACACTTGGGTACCAGGGCTGGGTACCAGGGTACTTGGGTACCAGGGCTGGGTATCCAGACACTTGGGTACCAGGGCTGGGTACCAGGGTATTTGGGTACCAGGGCTGGGTACCCAGATACTTGGGTACCAGGGCTGGGTACCAGGGTATTTGGGTACTAAGGCTGGGTACCAGGGTACTTGGGTACCAGGGCTGGGTATCCAGATACTTGGGTACCAGGGCTGGGTACCCAGACACTTGGGTACCAGGGCTGGGTACCAGGGTATTTGGGTACCAGGGCTGGGTACCAGGGTATTTGGGTACCAAGGCTGGGTACCAGGGTATTTGGGTACCAGGGCTGGGTACCAGGGTACTTGGGTACCAGGGCTGGGTACCAGGGTTGGTGGTTTGGGTGCTGGTGGGTGCACACAATGCAGCCCCGTCTCCCTGCAGGCGGTTCTATGATGATGGGGCCATCATGCTGCGGGAGGAGTCCACGGTGCTCACCGGGATGCTCATTGGGCTCAGCGCCATTGACTTCAGGTCAGGGCGGGTGGTGCGGTGGGACAGGGGCACCCTGTGCTGGCTGCAAGCCCACAGGGCTGCCCTCACCCTGTGCTTCTCCTCCTGCCCCTCAGCTTCTGCCTGAAGGGTGAGGTGATGGATGGAAAAACACCCGTGGTCATTGACTACACGCCCTACCTGAAGTTCACACAGAGGTAAGAGCCTGGGGGCCCTCCCCATGGTGGGGCCCCTGCTGCCTCTGTGCCACCCCCTTGCTGCTATGCTAAGCACCACTGAGCCCCTGTCCCCCCAGTTATGACTACCTGAGCGAGGAGGAGGAGCGGGGCAGCGTGGAGAGCAGCACGAGCGAGGATAGCTCCCCCGAGCACCCCTACCTGCCCCTGGTCACCGACGAGGACAGTTGGTACAACAAATGGCGCAAGATGGAGCAGAAGTTCCGCATTGTTTATGCCCAAAAGGTACCGGGAGCCGGGATGGGGCTGTTCGGGTGCCAACCGTACCCTGGGATGCTCCGGCATCCCCATTCCTGCATCCCAGTGGTACCTGCGGCAGCAGTGACCCAGCGCTGTCCTTGGGGTGGCAGCCCTGGTGGGATGCTGACGGTGGCCTCACGCAGGGGTACCTGGAGGAGCTGGTGCGGCTGCGGGAGTCACAGCTGAAGGACCTGGAGGCAGAGAACAAGCGGCTGAAGCTGCGGCTGGAGGAGGTGATGGTACAGAACCAGCTGGAGAAGAGGGAGCTGGAGGGCGTCATCCTGGAGCTGCAGGAGCAGCTGTGAGTGGGGACCTGCGGTGATGGTGGGATGTGATGGGTGGCAGGCTCCCTGTCCCCTGTGGGACATAGAACCATAGAATCAGCTGCATGGGAAAAGACCTTTAAGATCATCAAGTTCAATTCTTACCCCAGCACTGCCCAAGGCCACCACTTGGAGATGGAGGGTCCCAAATGTCCTATGGGATGTAGTGGGTCCCTGACGCCCCACACATCCCGCGTCCCCCAGCATCCGTGGCAGTGCTGGGTGCTGAGCATCCCCCTTTGCTGCAGGACGGGGCTGATCCCCTGTGAGAACCCGCAGCTGGCGCAGCTCTCCAAGGAGATGGTGACACCCCTGGTGAACCAGTGGCCATCGCTGGGGACCCTCAATGGCAACGAGAGCGGCTCAGACAGCAAACTGTACCGGAGGTAATGCCCGCGGTGGGGCAGAGCCGCCCTGACCCACAGCCAGAATCCCACCTCCCCAGGGCCGCGGCACCGCCGCAGCGGGTACCACTTAGGCTGCAGGAGCAGGGATGCAGTGGGGAGATGCCGGAGCATCCCGGGGGGGTCTGTCCCTCGTGGTGGGGCTGTCCCAGCACGTCCCTCCGCAGGCACAGCTTCGTGAGCACCGACCAGCTCTCGGCCGAGAACAGCCTCAGCTCCGACTCCCAGCGCCTGGGCGAGGGCAAGCGCGAAGGCGAGCCCTGGGGGCCCTTGGGTAAGAGCCCCCCCATAACCATAGGGTGCCCCTTGGGGCTCATTGTGCCCTGTAACGTGTGCCCAGGCATCTGACCCCATCAGCAGCCCCCTCCCCATGCCGGGCAGCGAGGGACGCCCCGTCCCCATCTCCCCTGATGCGCAGGGCTGGGGTGCGAGGCCGCAGCCTCCACACGATGCCTGCTCTGTGTCCGCAGGGAAGGATCCGACCCCGTCCATGCTGGGGCTCTGCGGCTCCCTGGCCTCGCTGCCCAGCTGCAAGTCCTTGGCCAGCCTCAAGTCCAACGAGTGCCTGGTGAGCGACAGCACGGAAGCCAGCCCGAGCCGCAGCCCCAGCTGAGACCCCCGGCCCCGCCGCCCCACAGCCACTGACCTCGGCCCCCCAGCACCCACCAGGGACCCGCCGGGACCGGGAACCCTCTGCTCTGTCTTGACACCCCAACCCCAGCTGCGCCTCGGCACGGTCCCTGGCTGGAGACATGGACCCGTTGGGATGGGGTTGCTGGACCGGGACTGATGCGAGCTGGGGATGGGAATGGGAGTGAATGCCGGGGGGGGGAACATGGGGAGCGAGCGCTGAGGGGGAGCACTGGAGGAGGATCAGGGCTAAACCCTCGCTCGGTCTGGGCTCCCCCAGACACTGCAGGGGCTTGGCCTGTGCCCCTCTTTGGGGTCCAGCTCTCCCCCCTTGCAGCAACATCCCCACCACAGGGATAGCCCCCCCTCCCCAGCCCCTTCCCATCCTCCCTGGGGTTTGGGTTGGATGAGTTTGGTTTTTAATGCAGCCCCATCCGCCTCATTGGAGCAAAAGGAATCAATAAACGCAGCAACTGAGCCGGCATCTGAGAGCCCCCAGCCTAGAGAGGGAAAGGGCCCTTGAGGAACCCCTCAGGGCAGGGAGGGCACCTTTGGGCCACAGCAGGTCACCAACGATGGGCTCCCCCCTGTACCCCATCAACAGGGGGTAAGCAGAGGTCCTGGGAGCACCCATGAGGATGGTGGAGGGTGACGGTAACCATGGCACAGGGACATGGCTGTCACCTCTAGGGGTACCTTCCACAGGCCCAGAGCACAGGAAGAGAAATCCCTGGGCCAAGAGACAAGGGTGACTGTCTTTTATTTAAGAAAATAAGGTAAATCCCCCCCTGGAGCCCCAGGCTGAGCAGGGGCAGAACCTCGGGGTAAGGGGACAGGGGATGGGCGCACAACATCCACTGGCCCCTGAGAGCAGCAGCGAGGTCTGTCCCCACACCGGCTCCGAGCCCACGGGCTGGCAGGGCACAGGGACACCCCGAGAGGGAGGAGAGGTCCGGAGCGCGTCCCCACAGCATGCAGGGCTGTGTGTTACCGACAGCACGCGGCTGGAGGGGGCCCGGGCAGGCAGGGAAACGCCGAGGGTTTGGTCCCCAACAGAGCCCCAGTTCCCATCTCCTGCCCTGCACCTCATCCTCGCCTGAGCATCCATGAATCCACGATCCAGCAGCATCCACCCAGGCTCAGGGATGAGCTCAGGGGACTCCACATTCCCCCAGTGTCACAGCAGCAGGCACAGGTGTCCCCCAGTGCACTGGGCATGGGGAGCAGGTCCGGGTCTGTCCCCATGCACGGGCAGCAGGAGGTGGGGAGCAGCACAAAGGCACTTGGGCTTTGCAGAGCCGCTGCTGTCGTTGCTCCTGGGGCACCGGAGCAGAGCTGGAGCATCCCTGGAGCACCGGCCCCCTCAGAGCCCGCGCAGCCGCCGCTCCTGGTTCAGCTTCTGGAAGAAGGTCTTGCCAAACTCATAGGTGCTGATCATGATGGCGCAGGCGGGGGCTACCTTAATGACACGGGGCAGGAAACCTGCGGGGACAACGCCAACAGCCCCCCGGTGGCACCAGGGCACCAGTAAACCCCATCAGCCCCTCGCTGGCACCAGTAAACCCCAGCCTGGGGCCACGTCCTTACCTGCAAACAGCCCCCGCGTGCCGGACTCGGCGCGGATGCGCTGCATGAGGAGCCACGTGGAGGAAGGTTTGGAGGCTGCGACTGTGGGGTGAGGGGAGCGGGTGAGGGTCTGGGGCTGCCCCACGTGCACCAGGGGTGCTGGTTGCCCACAGCCCCGCTCCTTACCTGGGTGCACCTCGCTGTGCCCCAGCTCGATCTGCCGCTGGGTCTTCACCACGTCAAAGGGCAGCGTCAGCACCGCGGCCACCTGTGGGGACAGCAGTGACCCATGGGCTCTGCTCCTGCATCACCAACCCCATCCTTTGCTCCCCATGGAGCCCCAGTGCAGCGCGGAGCCCATGGCCCCATACTCACCGTGCCGGAGATGGCCCCAGATATGAAGCTGATCATGAACATGGCCTCGTCCAGCCAGGCATTCCTGCAGAGCCAGTCTCTCACCAGCTCATAGTTAAACCAGTAGAGAGCTGGGAGAGGAGAAACACCAGCGCTAAGATGAGGCACCACAGACACCCCAGCCTCTGCCTTCCTCCTGTGCAGGGGTGCTCTGGCCAATGCTTGACCCCCCCCACCTCAAGCCGTGGCTGCCCCATCCCTGGCAGTGTTCAAGGCCAGGTTGGACACAGGGGCTTGGAGCAAGCTGCTCCAGTGGAAGGGGTCCCTGCCTGTGGCAGGGGTTGGAGCTGGATGAGCTTTAAGGTCCCTCCCTTCCAACCCAACCCAAGTGCCATCCCAGAGCCTGTCCCCACTGCCGTACCTGAGAAGGGGACGTCCCGCAGCACAGTGGGTCCCCAGCCCCTCCAGAGGGACAACCACCCATCCTGAGCCACCGCCGACTGGATGCAGACCCGCAGCTCCTGGTAGCTCAGCTGCCGCGACTGCATCTTGGTGCGGATGAGCTCCAGGGGGCTGATGACCGTCACAGCACCCACTGCAATGGAGGGGGGATCCTTTACCAGCTCCAGCCACTTCTGTGGCTCCCAGAGCATCGGGCTGGGAGAGCCAGGTGCTGAGTGGGCTCCAAGAGACCCACAGGAGGGGGAGAACATGGGGTGGGCATGGGGGGTACTCACGCCTGGCAAGGGCCCCGGCCAGCAAGGGGATGTGGTACCCCTGGCTTCCCGTGCGAGCCTGCAGGTAGTCCCGGAGCTGGTCGTACGTGGTGAAATAGATGACGGTGGCAGGCACAGCCATGACCCTGGGGAGGAGGGCGGGTGTGTGAGGGCACTGGCAGGGGGCTCAGGGGGGTGCCCATGTGCTCATGCAGGCGCTAGCACCCAGGGACTCCCCCAGGCACTCACAGGGTGGGGGGCAAGCCGCTCCACAGGGACCTGATGCCCTCGTAACGCGTGATCTTCACAAAGGCATCCTGGGGGGAGCACCGGGGAGAGGGATTAGACAGGAAGCAGCCCCCCAGGGACAGGGAGCCCCCATCCCACCCCCCTGTGCTGCAGTCCTACCAGTGTCCCAGTGAAGCGTGTGGGGGCCTTGTACCAGGCGGTGCAGCCGTTGCCGTTCTGGCAGACGTACAGATGGTCCATGAGCCCATTGCAGTAGAGGAAACACTTCCCTGGGAGGCAACAGCATCGCTGTTAGACACGAGATCCCTTCCCCTCTGCCCTGTGCACAACCCATTCAATCCCCAAAACCACTGCCTCCTCCAGCGAAGAGCCAAACCCTCAGTGCTGAAAGCAGGATGGAGAGAGGTGGGGATCAGCCTCTGCTCCCAAGGAACAAGGGATGGGACAAGAGGAAACGGCCTCAAGCTGCACCAGGGCAGGTTTAGATGGAGCTGAGGAACAATTCCTGCCCCAGAGGGTGCTCAGGCATTGGAACAGGCTGCCCAGGGCAGGGCTGCAGTCACCGTCCCTGCAGCGCTCACACAGCGTGGAGACGAGGCCTCAGTGCCATGGGGCAGTGGTGGCCTTGGCAGTGCTGGGAATGGTTGGATTTGATCATCTTAAAGGTCCTTTCCAACCCAGTTGATTCTGTGATGTTTGAGCCTGGTGGGGACCAGCCCCAGAGCAAGGCCAGGAGAGGGATAAATCTCCAGCAAGGCTCTGACCACAGATCCAGACCCACCAAAGGGTCGTGACAGGACAGTGATGAGACAGGACAGTGATGAGACAGGGACCACAGGCAGCCAGGCCTGGTGCACAGCAGACCCCCAGGCACAGACCAGCCCCAAAGTGGGGCTGCAGGAGCAGCTGTGGGGCTGGCGGTGCTGCCCCACACTGCGGAGAGCTGTTCCCTTGGCCGGAGGAGCCCAAGCCACCACCAGCAGGGAAGCCAAGCGGGATCAAGGCTTAGGAAAGCAAAGCTGCTGGTGGCAGGAGCTGCCCCATGGCGTACTCACATGTGGTCTGCTGAGCACCCCAGGGCACAGACTGTGTTGGACATGCTGAAACACACAACAGGGACACGCTGAGACATGACATGGGGGATGTGCCACAGTGCTGAGCCAGGCAGTGTGGGGAGGTCTCTGTGGGTGACCGGGCTGGATGCCCTCACAGCCACGACCCAAGCAGTCCCTATTGTCACCAAAGCAGCCCCTTGGGAACAGCCCCAGCCCCCTGACCCCATAGGGAATGGGATGGAGACCATGGGGTCCCTCCTGCCCCATGGAAGCTGTGGGGAGCAGCACAGAGGCACACATTGACACCCTCAGCATTGCAGTGGGGCTGTGAGGGGGAAGGACAGAGCCAAGCACCGGCCCAGCTCCCCCAGTGGGGCCCCCAGAGCCTGTGAGGACAAGGGGCCCAGGCTAACGTGTGCTCCGGAGCTGAGGAATCCCGGCCACCGGCTCTGCCAACCAGCACATCCACATGGGCTGCCCGGGATGGGGTCTGGAGACCCCCCCCCACCACAAGCAGGGTTACCTTTGGAGAAGGGGGTCCTCTGAGCCTGCAGCCGGATCTTCACCACATCCAGCGGCGTCACTGAAACGACACCATCCTTTAGCCCCACGGCACGGCCCCGCTGCCCCCCAGTGCCCGCGGTACCCACCGAAGAGCGAGGTGAGGATGGCACCGGTCCCCGAGGCCAACATCTGCTGCAGAGGTGTGATGCTCCCGCCGGCACTCGGCGACGTCCGCTCGGCCATGGCAGCGCCCTGCAACACACAGCGGCGACAACGGGGGATGCTCGAGGGTGCCCAGGGATGAGCGATGGATCCCAAGGAGCCCCCCTGCCATTCCCGGTGCGCTGCAGGCCTCCCACCTCCGGCCCCGCTATCGGCCCGGCACAGGGCAGGCGCGGCCCCCCCTCTAATCGGTGCTGCCCCGAAGGGGGGGGACAGGGACGGCGCCTGGGGCTGGAGCAGCCCCGATAACACCCCCGGGCCCGGCGCTGGCGGCCGGCCCAGCCCCGCTGGAGGTGGGGACAGCAGGGGCCAGCCCCGTGTCCTTGGAGGGGAGCGCTGTTCCCTCCCCGCGCGCAGGGGAGGGCAGGGACAAAGGGTAAAGCCCAACCAACCGCAACAGCCCCCCCCCGAGCCCTCAGCCATGGGGACACCGCGGGGATCCCTTCGGAAAGGGGGTGCGAGCTTGTGACAAGCACCCCAAAACGGGTCCACACATCCAGAACCCGCCGTGTGCCCTCCTGCAAGGCCTGGCGAGACTGCGACCCCCCTCGGGTCAGGGGGAATATGGGGCTATTGCACCTCGAGTGCGCTGCTCCGCACGCTGGGACGGGGCCATGGCGCTTCCAAGCTTCGGGAATGCGCGGTGGTGTTTGAAAGCCAGGGGAATGCAGCACAAACAGCCCCAAAGCACCTTCCCCTCCTGACTCAGCACTGGGCAAGGTCGGCGCAGGCACAAATCCCGCAGTCCGGTGCCCCAGGCTGGGAGCAGGGAAGGGGCTGTCCCGGAGCCAACGGCACCGGGAGCCGGGGCCCGCACG